CATTAGCACCTCTAGTAATATATTTACTGAGAAAAATGGTGACGTGTTCAATACTTATTTTACCCGCTGTATGTATGTATTCACTGCCACTGATAAAGATGTATTAATGGCATCATTTTTTTAATATTGTAAAAGAAAAACACCATTTTGTGCCAGCATGGCTGACTTCCGGCTGACTTCCGGTTTTATGAGGTTACGTGAAATAACATGCATGCATGAAATAAATGTTCAAAATGTGGCGCCTCCTTCCAGGCAGTGTTGTCATTTCTTTAAGGGTCCACTTCAGTAAAACCTCTTTACATAATTGGTGTTTTTGTCATTTTATTGCCAACCCATGTGGCTTTTTTTGGACGAAGCTTGGTCTGTGTGATGAGCTCGAACAGACAATATAGCTGTTATACCTGAGCACGGGTTTGTCTTCAGCGTCTGAAACGAAGAAGTCCTGCAGGTACATGTGTCTCTGYATGTCCCCATCCTGTCAACAACAGAGAGCCACCAACGTGTCACACACAGTTTGTAGCTAATGTTGAAAACAATTTTAAAGCTCACACAAACGAGACTTTGTTACCTCAAACAGTTCGTGGTCCTTGTCCAGGCGAATGAGTTGTGGAGTGAAACTAAACGGAATCTCCGCTCCCGGTTCTTCTGTCGAACGGGRTTCATCGCCGCTTGTTGCGTTTACATCTGGCTGAGGTACGTGTGGCTGCTGCATCGTTTACAGAGCTTCTCGTCGCCTCCTTCTTGACACAAAATAACATATCGGGCTGTTGCGTAGGAGATTGATTTTCCTTGAATCGTACTACAGGACAGGTTAAAAAGGAAATGCGTTGGCCGGGAATCGAACCCGGGTCAACTGCTTGGAAGGCAGCTATGCTAACCACTATACCACCAACGCGACGTATGTAACAACACGTCAGACGCATCATGATGACGTAACTCACAGGGGACGCCGTTCTGCTAGGTGGCAGCACAGGTGGCAGGATAGACTGTTTTTAGCAGGAATCTTAAATCTTTTTGGCAACTTTAATAGAAACTTTTTAGTCTGCAATAATTTCTGCAAATAAAATAAAAAACGTTCAATTACCTGTACTTTGTATGTGTGACAAAAACGAAAACATGCAAGAAGTATTAACGCATCATTATTTCATTTGTGCTTTGTTCAATTAAGCTTTTATTTGTAAAGAAGAAACACAATCAAGCAAAATTGTGCATAACGCATAGATTTCTTGATTTGTGGTTGACTGAGAAGTAAAATTATATACCGCGCTGACATGAGATTGTAAATAATCCATTTCAGCTTCACACGAACCTTATCATGGCAACTAACAGCAGGCTAAAGGCAGTCATATCTAACCTTGTTCACATCAAAAAGAAAAAAAATGTATAGGTCTTCTGGACGGGTTCTTCTCTAATGAAACGTTTCGTCTCTCCTCCAAGAGACTTCTTCAGTCTGAGA